GTGGGTGTTTTTGTGTGTGGGTGTTTTTTTGTGTGTGTGGGTGTTTTTTTGTGTGTGTGGGTTTTTTTTGTGTGTGGGTGTTTTTGTGTGTGGGTGTTTTTTGTGTGTGTGGGTGTTTTTTGTGTGTGGGTGTTTTTTGTGTGTGTGGGTGTTTTTGTGTGTGGGTGTTTTTTGTGTGTGTGGGTGTTTTTGTGTGTGTGTGGGTGTTTTTTGTGTGTGGGTGTTTTTTTGTGTGTGCAGGTGTTTTTGTGTGTGTGGGTGTTTTTGTGCAGGTGTTTGGCTTGTTACAGTCGGGAACAGGAAGGCTGTCTAGTCTATTTGAGGTCCCTCTCCCGAGGCCTTGATTGATCTCCCACAGAAAGCAACCCACACTAGTTGTCTAACTCCCGGGGACTTTACTGCTAGGTGAACAGCAGCATCAGACGAAAGGAAATATGCACCCCCCCTCCCCAAACATCTCACACTGTGTACCCCCCCCACACACACAGACACTGGTGTACCCCCCCACACACACAGACACAGGTGTACCCCCCCCACACACACACACACAGGTGTACCCCCCCCACACACACACAGACACAGGTGTACCCCCCCCCACACACACAGACACAGGTGTACCCCCCCCACACACACAGACACAGGTGTACCCCCCCCCACACACACACACAGGTGTACCCCCCCCCCCCCACACACACAAGACACAGGTGTACCCCCCCCACACACACAGACACAGGTGTACCCCCCCCACACACACAGACACTGGTGTACCCCCCCACACACACAGACACAGGTGTACCCCCCCCACACACAGACACAGGTGTACCCCCCCCCACACACACACAGACACAGGTGTACCCCCCCCCACACACACAGACACAGGTGTACCCCCCCCCACACACACAGACACAGGTGTACCCCCCCCCACACACACACACAGGTGTACCCCCCCCCCCCACACACAGACACAGGTGTACCCCCCCCACACACACACACAGGTGTACCCCCCCCACACACACAGACGCAGGTGTACCCCCCCCACACACACAGACACAGGTGTACCCCCCCACACACACAGACACAGGTGTACCCCCCCACACACACAGACACAGGTGTACCCCCCCCCCACACACACAGACACAGGTGTACCCCCCCCACACACACACACACAGGTGTACCCCCCCACACACAGACACAGGTGTACCCCCCCACACACACACACAGGTGTACCCCCCCACACACACAGACACAGGTGTACCCCCCCCCACACACACACACAGGTGTACCCCCCCCCATACACACATACACAGGTGTACCCCCCCACACACACACAGACATAGGTGTACCCCCCCCCCCACACACACAGACACAGGTGTACCCCCCCCCCACACACAGACACAGGTGTACCCCCCCCCCCCCACACAGACACAGGTGTACCCCCCCACACACACACAGACACAGGTGTACCCCCCCCACACACACACACAGGTGTACCCCCCCCCACACAGACACAGGTGTACCCCCCCCCACACACACACAGGTGTACCCCCCCCACACACACAGGTGTACTCCCCCCCCCCCCACACACACACAGGTGTACCCCCCCCACACACAGACACAGGTGTACCCCCCCACACACACACAGTCACAGGTGTACCCCCCCACACACACAGACACAGGTGTACCCCCCCCCCCCACACACACACACACACAGGTGTACCCCCCCCCCCCCACACACACACAGGTGTACCCCCCCCCCCCACACACACAGGTGTACCCCCCCCCCACACACACACAGGTGTACCCCCCCCCCACACACACAGGTGTACCCCCCCCCACACACAGACACAGGTGTACCCCCCCCACACACACAGACACAGGTGTACCCCCCCCACACACAGACACAGGTGTACCCCCCCCACACACAGACACAGGTGTACCCCCCCACACACACAGACACAGGTGTACCCCCCCCCCCACACACACAGACACAGGTGTACCCCCCCCACACACACACAGACACAGGTGTACCCCCCCCCCCACACACACAGACACAGGTGTACCCCCCCACACACACAGACACAGGTGTACCCCCCCACACATACAGACACAGGTGTACCCCCCACACACACACAGACACAGGTGTACCCCCCCCCCACACACAGACACAGGTGTACCCCCCCACACACAGACACAGGTGTACCCCTCCCACACACACACACAGGTGTACCCCCCCCACACACACAGACACAGGTGTACCCCCCACACACACACACAGGTGTACCCCCCCCCACACACACAGACACAGGTGTACCCCCCCCACACACACACACAGGTGTACCCCCCACACACACAGACACAGGTGTACCCCCCACACACACAGACACAGGTGTACCCCCCCCCCCCACACACACAGACACAGGTGTACCCCCCCCACACACACACAGACACAGGTGTACCCCCCCACACACACAGACACAGGTGTACCCCCCCCCACACACACAGACACAGGTGTACCCCCCACACACACACAGACACAGGTGTACCCCCCCCACACACACAGACACAGGTGTACCCCCCCCCCACACACACAGACACAGGTGTACCCCCCCCCACACACAGACACAGGTGTACCCCCCCCACACACACAGACACAGGTGTACCCCCCCCACACACACAGACACAGGTGTACCCCCCCCACACACACACAGACACAGGTGTACCCCCCCCCACACACACACAGACACAGGTGTACCCCCCCCCACACACAGACACAGGTGTACCCCCCCCCACACACACAGACACAGGTGTACCCCCCCCCCACACACACAGACACAGGTGTACCCCCCCCACACACACAGACACAGGTGTACCCCCCCCACACACACAGACACAGGTGTACCCCCCCCCACACACACAGACACAGGTGTACCCCCCACACACACAGACACAGGTGTACCCCCCCCCACACATACAGACACAGGTGTACCCCCCCTCCACACACACACAGACACAGGTGTACCCCCCCCCACACACAGACACAGGTGTACCCCCCCCCACACACACAGACACAGGTGTACCCCCCCCCCACACACACAGACACAGGGGTACCCCCCCCCCACACACACACACACACACACACAGGTGTACCCCCCCCCCCCCCCACACACACACAGGTCCCCCCCCCCACACACACAGACACAAGTACACGTCAAGATATTAGGATACTTGTCACCAAGATATTAATTTTGTGATTTATTTCCTTACTAAGTCATTGTATCCAGCGGGAATACTTGTCAGATTTTTCCTGTTGACTACTTAATTCCCCTCAGGTAAACTACCCTCTCCACTATAATCACTTAAGTGCCTTACTCGAGTACTCACTTTAAACTTGCCTTATGAGCCAATTCGCCAATTTCCGATAGTTGCATATATTGAAATTAATTAAATACATTCTATCGTGAATAGTAATGATAATTCAATGTGTGTCAATACTGAATCAGTTAATGCATTGGTAAATGTGATCAATGTAATGACAGTACTGTTGGTTAGTGATTTATCCAGTAATTGTTAATTCAATCTCTCAGTCCTTTAACACAGCTAAATATTATGTTAAGGTAATATATCACTGTTTTCTCCTTGGGGATGTTTACCCGTGTGTGTGTGTGTGTGTGTGTGTGTGTGTGTGTGTGTGTGTGTGTGTGTGTGTGTGTGTGTGTGTGTGTGTGTGTGTGTGTGTGTGTGTGTGTGTGTGTGTGTGTGTGTGTGTGTGTGTGTGTGTGTGTGTGTGTGTGCGTGTGTGCGTGTGTGTGTGTGTGTGTGCGTGTGTGTGTGCGTGTGTGTGTGCGTGTGTGTGTGCGTGTGTGTGTGCGTGTGTGTGTGCGTGTGTGTGTGCGTGTGTGTGTGTGTGTGTGTGTGTGCGTGTGTGTGTGTGTGTGTGTGTGTGTTCATCTAGTTGTGTTTGCGGGGGTTGAGTTTTGCTCTTTCGGCCCGCCTCTCAACTGTCAATCAACTGTTTACTAACTACTTTTTTTCGCACACCACACACACACACCAGGAAGCACCCCGTGACAGCTGACTAACTCCCAGGTACCTATTTACTGCTAGGTAACAGGGGCATTCAGGGTGAAAGAAACTTTGCCCATTTGTTTCTGCCTCGTGCGGGAATCGAACCCGCGCCACAGAATTACGAGTCGTGCGCACTATCCACCAGGCTACGAGGCCCTGTGAGTGTGTGTGTGCGTGCGCGCGCGTGTGTGTGTGTGTGTGTGTGTGTGTGTGTGTGTGTGTGTGTGTGTGTGTGTGTGTGTGTGTGTGTGTTTGAGAGAAATATATGTAGTACACCATGGAGGAAAATGGATTGGTTTAGAAAGGCGGAGTCCAAGAGCTAACAGCTCGATTCTGCAGGCACAAATTTCAAATCCACAGTCACATGGCCCAACTGTTTCCGCTGTAGTGGGGGTGAGAGGCAGACCAGACGTGGCTCCTCTCCCTCTCATGTCACACCAACTGAAACACATGACCTATAAGACTCCAGGGCTGTTCCTTGGACTTTTCCTTGGACTGTTCCTTGGGCTGTTCCTTGGACTGTTCCTTGGACTGTTCCTTGGTCTGTTCCTTGGTCTGTTCCTTGGTCTGTTCCTTGGACTGTTCCTTGGACTGTTCCTTAGGTCCTTGGACTGTTCCTTGGACTGTTCCTTGGTCTGTTCCTTGGACTGTTCCTTAGGTCCTTGGGCTGTTCCTTGGACTTTTCCTTGGACTGTTCCTTGGACTGTTCCTTGGGCTGTTCCTTGGACTGTTCCTTAGGTCCTTGGGCTGTTCCTTGGACTGTTCCTTGGACTTTTCCTTGGACAGTTCCTTGGACTTTTCCTTGGACTGTTCCTTGGGCTGTTCCTTGGACTTTTCCTTAGGTCCTTGGGCTGTTCCTTGGACTTTTCCTTGGACTGTTCCTTGGACTGTTCCTTGGGCTGTTCCTTGGGCTGTTCCTTAGGTCCTTGGGCTGTTCATTGGACTGTTCCTTGGGCTGTTCCTTGGGCTGTTCCTTGGGCTGTTCCTTGGACTGTTCCTTGTGACTGTTCCTTGGGCTGTTCCTTGGACTGTTCCTTGGACTGTTCCTTAGGCTGTTCCTTGGACTGTTCCTTGGGACTGTGCCTTGGGCTGTGCCTGGGACTGTTACTTGGACTGTGGCTTGGACTGTTCCTTGGACTGTTCCTTGGACTGTTCCTTGGACTGTGCCTTGGACTGTGCCTTGGACTGTGCCTTGGACTGTTACTTGGACTGTGGCTTGGACTGTTCCTTGGACTGTTCCTTGGACTGTTCCTTGGACTGTTCCTTGGGCTGTTCCTTGGACTGTTCCTTGGAATGTTCCTTGGGATGTTCCTTGGACTGTTCCTTGGACTGTTCCTTGGGCTGTTCCTTGGGCTGTTCCTTGGACTGATCCTTGGGACTGTTCCTTGGGCAGTTCCTTGGACTGATCCTTGGGACTGTTCCTTGGACTGTGCCTTGGACTGTTCCTTTCGTTGTTCCTTGGAATGTTCCTTGAACTGTTCCTTGGACTTTTCCTTGGACTGTGCCTTGAACTGTTCCTTGGGCTGTTCCTTGGACTGTTCCTTGGGCTTTTCCTTGGACTGTTTCTTGGACTGTTCCTTGGGCTGTTCCTTGGACTGTTCCTTGGGACTGTTCCTTGATCTGTTCCTTGGACTGTTCCTTGGGCTGTTCCATGGACTGTTCCTTGAACTGTTCCTTGGACTGTTCCTTGGGCTGTTCCTTGGACTCTTCCTTGAACTGTTCCTTGGGACTGTTCCTTGGACTGTTCCATGGGACTGCTCCTTGGGCTGTTCCTTGGACTGTTCCTTGGACTGTTCCTTGGGCTGTTCCTTGGGCTGTTCCTTGGGCTGTTCCTTGGACTGTTCCTTGGGCTGTTCCTTGGACTGTTCCTTGTACTGTTCCTTGAACTGTTCCTTGAACTGTTCCTTGGGCTGTGCCTTGGACTGTTCCTTGGACTGTGCCTTGGGCTGTTCCTTGGACTGTGCCTTGGACTGTGCCTTGGACTGTTCCTTGGGCTGTTCCTTGGACTGTTCCTTGGACTGTTCCTTGGACTGTTCCTTGGGTTGTTCCTTGGACTGATCCTTGGGCTGATCCTTGGGCTGTTCCTTGGACTGTTCCTTGGGCTGTTCCTTGGACTGATCCTTGGACTGTGCCTTGGACTGTTCCTTGGACTGTGCCTTGGACTGTTCCTTGGGCTGTTCTTTGGGACTGTTCCTTGGACTGTTCCTTGGATTGTTCCTTGGGGCTGTTCCTTGGGGCTGTTCCTTGGACTGTTCCTTGGGCTGTTCCTTGGACTGTTCCTTGGACTGTTCCTTGGACTGTTCCTTGGGACTGTTCCTTGAACTGTTCCTTGGGCTGTTCCTTGGAATGTTCCTTGAACTGTTACTTGGACTGTTACTTGGACTGTTCCTTGTACTGTTCCTTTTGCTGTTCCTTGGACTGTTCCTTGGACTGTTCCTTGGACTGTTCCTTGGGCTGTTCCTTGGACTGTTACTTGGACTGTTCCTTGGACTGTTCCTTGAACTGTTACTTGGGACTGTTTCTTGGACTGTTCCTTGGACTTATCAGACGGGTTTTTACCAGTATGATCAGATTGATCAGAGGGGGTTTCTACCAGTATGACCAGATTGATCAGTGGGGGTTTCTATCAGTATGATCAGATTGATCAGAGGGGGTTTCTACTAGTATGACCAGATTGATCAGAGGGGGTTTCTACTAGTATGACCAGATTGATCAGAGGGGGTTTCTACTAGTATGACCAGATTGATCAGAGGGGGTTTCTACTAACAAACCTGATTACAACCACGTGTCTTAATTACTCCCACTGCTAGTTCCCCCCGCCACGCACGACGCAGTTCGTTGCCAATATTGCACACTGCTCCTCCAGCCTCCATATATATCTTGCTGTTGATCTCCTGAAGTTGATTTGATAACAGTGCACTTGATAACAGTTGATTTGATAACACTTGATTTGATAACAGGTTGTTTGCAGTGTCACACACACAGACCCTTGTCCCCTGCATTATTTATTTATTTATTTATTTATGCATATACAAGAATGTACATAAGGAATGTGAGGATACAAATATGGTAATTACAGTCTTGTAAAGCCACTAGCACGCGCAGCGTTTCGGGCAGAAACGCTGCGAAATTATATTCCATTGGCATCCCTAAAATATGATGGTATTTATTGCAACTATTTGTTGAAACGGACAAAAAATATGGACTGATTTAACCAACAATATTTATATTTTGAACTGTTAATTATGGATAGGAGGAGGAGGATGGAGGGGAGAGAAAAATCCTTGGCCTAGTATATCGCTCATATATTATAAACAGCTCAAGATAGCGTGTATCTTTTCTTGATATACTTGCTGGTTGTTTTTTTTTTTTTTAGATTTATCTACTCAGAACGAAATGTCCATGTAGCACGGGCTATGGTGAGCCTGTAATATA